CATATGATGGTCATGTTGACTCCTGTCCCCTTTGTCTCTGGATCATGAGTCTTGTGTTTTCTTACAGCACCCATGAAGCTGTGGAAGCGAGCTTGTTAACTTACAGGTAGAGTATGATATCAATGATTGACAGTTCTCAAGAAATAATAAGAAGGAGGCGGAGGAATGGAATGATATTTTAGGAGAGAAGAAATAAAATGGATTGTTGTGATTTGCCTGTTTTTGTAATAAGTAATTAATTGGTTTACAAATATTGCCTTTGCTTGAAAAGCTTTCAAGAATTCTTAGACTGCCTTTTCTGAATGACAATATTGGTTGAAATGCTGCTTTTAGCACTCAGACCTATTAGGCCATGCATTAAAAAAAAACAGAATAAAAAATAAACAAAAGGCTATATTTATGTTTATGAAATGCAGTGGTAAATAATTTAAACTTAGAATTTGTTATTTTCCACTATTTTTTACTTACTCCAAAAAGTTTTTTCATTCCCTTTCTCAGGCATAAAGTTAAATCACAACTCGAAAAACGAAATTCCTTCTTGGCTGCTTTTCACTTCACCAATGTTTCAAAGGTTAAAATAAGCCATGAACCTAATTCAAGTATGGATGGAATAAGCAAGTTTGAGTGAAAATTTAGTTTTCAATCATCATGAGTATTATTCAATCTATTTTTTTTCTGTTTTGCTATGAAGATGCCATTTAATTTACTTGTAAATCTTTTCATATGTAAGTAGAATTTTCTACATTAAAAATAGTAGGAAAAAGATAAGCAAGCAGTGTAATTCAAGTTTGACCTAAGAAAGATGAGAAAACAAGCAGTGACCTTTATATCGAAAGTACACATAGCATGGTGGCTTCCAACTAGACAGGGGCAGGAAGAAAAAACTTAATTTAAGATCAAATGATCCTTAATTAACTCTTTAATGTTCTGAAAATTAATTGCATTTTTGAAAACATCACCAACTACTTGACATTTCATTTTTTGTCTGGCTTTTTCCTCTTTCTTCTTGCTCCAAATTTCCTGGACCTAAAAAATGTTAGGTAAATAGTAGAGGTATCAGTAACAGTTCAGTTGTACATAGAGAAACCACTCTAGCTTTCTTAGACAAGTAATAGTAATTTAATTTTGAAAGGTAGGTGGTTTACAGCATGAATAGAAAGAGAAGAATTAGGTAAATATCAAGAGCACTTCCAGCCTCCCAGAATCAAACATGCACTGCTATTGTCCAAAAAGCTTACACCACTGCCTCAAGTACTGAAGACTGCAAAACCCGGATTCCTTAGGTACTATCTATGGAGAAAAAAGTGTCTCAAACCTTACCTTTCTCCTTAACTAACTCAATTTCTAATTAAGAAGATAAAGGTAGTTTGAAAAAGTGAATATCACACACACACACACACACACACACACACACACACACACACACTGAACATTTAGCTACAATGGAAATGTAATTTTTAATTTTCCAAAACTACCATCCAGTAAGGCAGAGAAGGTAGTGATAAGGGGAAAAAATGTTATGTCAAACAAACTATGCCAATTTACGTTTCCTATCTCATATTTACAGAGAGTGATGCACTGTGGACATTCTCTACTTTTGTCTCATAGCCATAAGCAGAGCACTAAGTTTGATTAATTGGCTAATAGAAAGTAAAATTGATATTATGTCTCCTGACATTCAAATGAACCAGAAAAATGCTGCTGACAAGCTATATTTTTAAAAAGTATCCAGCTGTTTAGCAAGTGGCACTTAATAAATAGTTATGCATATTGTTTAGGATCTTGGCAACCTTTTAGCATATAATTCTTCCATAAGGAATGGAAAATTATTTTATTTGATTGATTTTAATCAAGTGGGTCTTCTGTATTTGAATAGAGGTCAGCGTTCATTGGGTACACTAATAAATGTCTGGGAGCTGACGGCCACCACTTTGAGCATCGCTTGTGATTGTAGAGGTCAAAGGTAATTTGTATTAATCTCATGATGACTCAATAAATTTACCATTAGAATATCTATATGTCATTCTTTTCCTGATGTATATACATTTTTTGACAGACTTTGTGGTAAAGTTTTTATCAGCTTTTACTTACTCTTAACTTCTCCTCACATCAAAGAACATTTTTATAAGATAATGACACATTCTTCCCATTCATAGAGAGGTCATTGCACTTTTTACCTTTTCATTCATTCATTTCAATTTTCATGCACTACACTTTCGTAGTATTGATGACTACAAGCATACTTTATCTGATTCTTAGGACAATTTACATCAGATTTGCAAACACAACTGAAAATAAATAGAAAACCTTCAGAATCCCAAATCAACTCATTTCTAGAGTAAAATAAATGAGTTGAAAAATGATAGTTCAGTAATACTCTACAGAGGTTATAATTTCCAGCCAATATTCCCTTTACTCTTTATTTTAATCTTGATTACAAAGGAATACATTGAGTACAATAGTGTATGATCTCAGTTTCATTCTGAAGGACTTTTATAAGGATTCCATAAAGATAATTATGGTGACTTTTAATATATTCATTGTTCAAGTGCTCTCTCTCTTTCTCTTTCTGTCATCTATATCTCATCCATACTTTGGGTTATAAGGATGTTTTCCTTGTTATTTATTAAATATATTACCTCACTGTAAAAGAGAAAATACAATAACTGACATGATTTTTTTATACATTAAATATTTGTAATTATTTTATTTTTCATATATACCATCACTAATATTATCAAATTTTTAACATGAACAAATTTTTGCTTTTCTCTAAAAAGTATGTAAAATATACATGATCCACAGATATAATGTGAACTGTTATTTGCACCCAATTCTGTTTGCCTTTTCTAGTAACACAAATTTCTTTATCTTGACAAAAATTGGTCCAGAACAAATAATACTTCTTGAACCCTGTGTAGCAACAATTTGAGAATAGTCATTATATCTCATTTCCAACCAATGAGATCATAGAATAAAATGCCCAAATCCTATCTTACAATGGAAGAAAGCATCCTTCCTTTATTCATTTTACACTGCATTCAAGAAGACAGACATGGAGTGATATTTCTTCTATCACAAAAAAGAAGTTCAACTCCTTAAAAGGGTTGAGTCCTGAAACACAAAGATCCTGAGTTTTTGATGACTACTGGAGGCAGACTGATCAGATCAACTTAGAAATTTATATAAGAGAAGAATACATTCCTTTTGTTAAGAAACTTATTTTGGGATACATCCTTGGATCATGTATTATAACTTAAAATTAGAATTTAACTTTAGATCTCAGCCTTTGGTTAATTTTCTCAACTGGACCCATAATGTGTATTACAAAACTTTTTCATATTCTAGAACTATTTATTTCAATATTAGTAACAAACATAAAAAGTTAATACAATTAGACAGACTGTATTTGTGTGTGCATCTTCTTTTCCCATTTAATTAAATACTTTGTAATTTACCTGTGGGGAGTATGATGTTTTAAAATTTATCTCAGCAGTGAACTTTGAAGTATCAATTGCAGTATCATATATAATACATAAATACACATACATTCAATACATGCATCGTGAGAAAAATATTTGCATAAGTATTTTCAAGTAACTCTAAAATAAGGACACTATGTTGAACAAATTATAGGCAAATGATCCACAGATAACTTTCAGAACGGTAACTTTAGCAGAGTAACTATAATTTTCTAGATCCTAATGCCCTCACCTGTAAAATTAAGAGAAAAAAATAGTCGCTGCCTGCTATAAATACCAATTAGCTGAGTAGAAAAGCTTGGTATATTCAAATATAAAATGAGACAGTAACATTGGTAGAATGGTAACATCTTGGTATTATAAAACTTTTTGAAATCTAATTTAGAATCTTTTCCCTTCTTCTCCCACCCCCAGACTGAGTGTTCTTTGCAATTCATTATGCTGATTATCCTAATAACCCAATGATAGTAAGAATGATCAAGTAAGTGCGGAAGAGGTACCATGGGATCCCAGAAACATTAGACTTGGTAGAATGTAATGGTTTTAACCCCACCACAAGTTAGCTCAGTGACTTTAAAAAGATATTTAATATTTTGAGCATTATTCTCTGCTAAAAATAAATCATAGGTGAGCTAGGTGATATTCATAATTTCTCCCTGGGCTTTAAAATTATTTTTATAATTTACATAGATTGATGTAATTTATTTATGGATGATATTTTAAACAAGAATCTACATGTAGCCAAAAAATGTAAAGGTGTTATTTATTTTGTGGAGCTATACTGACATCATTTGGTGGTAAGGTTTTGGTTCATTAGAAATGGTTTTGGTTTACTATAATTTATTGGAGATATATAGAGATAAACAGATGGTTGATAAGTAGATCCAGTCATATATATTTACACTGGGTCCATACACTAATTTGGGTATAAAATTAATATTCATGAGAAAAAAGTTTTAAAAGATTGCACCAAATACAAAATCAAAATAATTTAATAAAACTAATTATGTATTGAAATTTTTCATAAACTATTTTATCTTTAAATTCTTGCGATGCAAAGATGGTGAGGTTAGGCAGACGGAACTGTGCCCGGACCTTCCAGTAAGATGAGCCAGATATGTTCTTATGACAATAAGCATTTAAATAAGGTATTTGGAGAATCAAGGAGAGAAAGTTCATGAAAGACAAAAAAAAAAAAAAACATTAAAAACCTTAGCAAAAATCACTCCAGTAACGTATCTGTTCCGGTAGTAATTAAACTTGACGCTCCGTTAATAGTTTGGTCGTCTACTGTGAGGACACTGGAGGAATAAATAAGTCAGAAGTCTCTATTTTTTAAAAATGTAAGAAGCAGTTGCAGCATCGCTGTCTCCGGGTCTGTGCTATGGACACAGGCGGATTAGATCGGGCTGATTACCTTCCCCGAAACAGAGAGTCTTTCTGGCCTGCGGGGGAGGGGAGGCTGTCCCTGCCAAGCCCTGCGCTGGAGGCGCCCTCCCCTCGCATTCACTTGCAAATCGCTGCGCGCGAGCTGAAGCCAGCGCTTCCCAGCCTCTAACCTTCCCATGGCGAGTGCTGCAGCTCTATCAGCAGAACCTTTCTCTCAGTGTGAGGAAGGGCTTTTTTCCCCTTTTCCTTTTTTTTTTTCCTCCTTAATCAGAAGCACTGAATGAAAGCCAATCAGAGCGAGAGCTCGCCCCCGTTTTCTTGGGTTCCCTGCCGTCCAGAGTTAAAAGTGATGCTGAGAGAAAGCTTGAGTTAGATTGAAGTAGAATCAGTGATAGAAAATAACAGCAGAAAACAAACAAAAAGGAGACCTAGTGACAATTTCTCCAGGGTTATTTTGGCTGGAATCAACTTCCGTTATCCAGAAGCTGATAAACAAGGTAGGAAGACTTCACCTCTTTCCTTGTAACTCCCTTAAGGTCTTTTATTTTTCTTCCCGTGGGGGAAAATATATTTGTTGTTAAGTTGTACTTAGCAATTATTTCAAAATAATTATCTTTAATAAATGAATACGTGCACAACTCTTTCTGTGAGATTCCAGAAACAACTGCGTTGACTACCTATAAAGGTAATGCAAAGCTGGATAAATTATATATTATGCTCAACAGTGGGTCACAATCTTAGAGTTTGCAAATTCATCACTCCGAACAAATACTGAAAATGTGGGGTGTAATTTTTCATGCTCGTACTTGTTTACCTTTGTTTTAAAAATCAGTTAACGAGAAAATATCGTTGCTGTGAACTCTTACATCACCTAACGTTACTTTGCATGCCATATGAATGGATTCACTCTGCACTTATTCATAGTCATAGTTCATTGTACGCTCAATGTAAAGAGAAATGACAGGCAGAAGACAGATTCCTTGAAGCTGTCCATGGTCACTAAGCATTTACATAAATACAGTAGATTGACATTCATCAGAAACAGAACAGGCATAATTCCTATATTCACATTTTATATGAGTCAGAAGTATGAGGGGGAAATGATATAGAGGGGGAGATTAAATGTATGTAGTCAGCAGTTGCAGCATTTATTGTCTCTGCTGCAATAAAATCCATATTTTATGTGGTGTTAAATTAATGCAGCATATTGAAAGTCTAAATGCATGTCCCCAACAAGTAACTATTGATAGCACTGTGAGTATGGGCAAAATCAGTAGCCTGGACGTGTTTTTATGCCACCACTATAAAAACCTACTATTTCTTTGTCATTAAAAAAAGGTAGTCTACAGGTATAATCAAAGATAAACATCATTTTTAAAATGACCTTGTGTTTTAAGCTTTCAAAGGAAAAAAAAAAAACAGATCTGTTTCCTATAATTGTAGTCCTTCATTCCAGTAAAAGCTTTTATTACCCCAAACTGTACATCCATTACTTCTTAGCTTTTTGGAAATGCATTATTTTTTTCTTCTCATTTTTCCTCTTGAAAGATTTATATTAAAAATAGCGTGTCCCTCTGATGCCGACAACTGTCATACTTCACTGCATATGTTAGTAGACTTTCTCCCTTCACACCATCCCCCTCTCTATCTTTCTTTAAAACATCGCTACAAGAGCTTCTCTGTGGTGAATAACACTTGGCAAGAGTGTGCTCATTTTTTAGGTCTGGTATGGTGAGGATTTTTAATTAGTAGAACTTTCGTGAAAACATTATGTCATTGACAGAAATGCATGCTCATTTCTAGTTAAAGTGATGAAGAAAAAATGAAGAGGTTGGGTCTGAAATAGGTAAATGAAAAGTTGCATGGAAAATCTGCCCCCATCACCCCAGTGGAGTAAATGTGGCACGTCCATATTCAATGTGCAGCAAAAAAAGGAAATAGTCTTTATTTGGGAAGAGAGGAGGGAAGGATTGGAAAGTGAACAAATAGAACAACCTGGGTCTGTGGCTGAGGGACATAGCAAATGCAAAGCCATTCTGATGATAAAAATACAAAGCATTGCTGTTTTCATTTCCTTTCACTTTTTCTTTCTGTTTTTTTTTTCTTTTGCTGTGTTTTTAAACTATGAGTCAATGTCCGCTTTCAGTAAATCAGATACTTGTTTGGTTTCAAATACTTGCTGCTAACAAATTGACTTCCCTGGTGGATGTGTATGCCTTTACTGACTCCAATCAAAGAATACAATTCCATATACTTAAATGTGAGGGAATAAAACAGAGAAATGGCATGGAAACGAGAATGTACACTGTATGAGAGCCCATGTACATGCACATATGTATGACATTAATGTGATTAATGGCCCAGGAGATGTTCCTTGATGTATATAAAATGAGCTGTTTATTAAAGAGAATAGCACTGTACAGGTATTCAATTTAATATTTCTGTTAGATTTTTTACCAACATTGAGGTTTTCATTTAAAAAGAAAACAATAAATAAATTAATGATTTCTGTCTAGAAAGATCTCTAATTCTGGTATATTATTAAGAAAGTTCATGTAATCTGAAAGAGGTCTGATTTCTTTTTGTTAAGATTGGAATGTTTGAAACTGAAAAGGTTAAATGAGAAATATGTGAAATCTGATCAAAACTCAGGATGAAGTTCTTGACCTTCTGTTAATACCCCGGATAAATGACTGAAACAAAGTATCTATTATCAGAGGCATTTCTCCACATATGACTTATTTCCTATGTTTCCTAACCTACTTTGCAGCTCGTGATAGCACCGTGTGGCCCTGGAATATGTCATTTTTATACCAAACCATTCCACTAGGCTGCAGCACAGTGACAACATTGGCTCCGATGATGCTGATTCAGCAGCAAAGTGAACCACATTTTCTTAAGCATTATTATCAGTAATAAGGTCACACAGTAGGCAATTAATGCAAATCAGGGATGTGAACTCAACTACCTCTAAACTTTGGGCTTTGAAAGCATTAGGTACAATACATTTGTATTTCTACTGCATTTTAATACTATTGCCACTTTAGAAATGCTTATAAAATACTGATGTAAGGTATATATAGAAAAATATAAAAGTTATTTATGCTGGTCACAAGGAATTTTAAACATATATTTGATCCCTGTTTTATATTTTGATCTCTGATCAAATGTTATCTCTGATCTATGTTTTGAAAATTTTCCATTTATTTTAAACCCAAAATCTTATTTGGAATAGGATTTCAGAGGAGTCAATTTACCAACCAAATTATACTTAATAGCATGTCTGAAATAGACAAGTTAAAAACCAAGTAGCAAAAAGATTAACTTATCTTTTTAGAAAATTCTGAACAATGGCAAAATGAATTAATCATTGATTTAATTAGAATATATGGTTCCAATTATGAGTATTTTTGAGGAAAAGCAGAGTCTAAGGAAAAACTTGAATACATAGATAAAAATAAAATTTAATATAGAAAAACCTAGTTATCTTTTTATGATATTTGTGCAAACAAATAAGTTCATCTAGAAAATTTTATTTTGACATAACTGTAATAACCTGAAATATACAGATAGCTAAAAGAAGTCCTAAATTTACATTCTTAAAAGTCTGCCTTCATTTGTTTATTTAATGCATTTGGACCATGTTCACATTGTATGAGAATCACAATTTTTTGCTTTTGTTTCAATAAGTTCAAGAGTTGAAATTACAGAGTTTTCATGCATATTACAAGAAAAATTTTCAGTCAACAAGCAGTGCATTTTTTTTAAGATAAAAATATCAGCTCAACATTACCTCTGTCCCATTCCTCCCTTCAGAAGCTGCAGCAACCTCATCCGACTTGACATTTTGGTACGAGCTTAGGAGCCCTTTACAGTCTGCTGTGTTGTCTTTCTTACCTGGGAGGGCACCTAAAGCATATAGGGCCATTTGCTTTTGCCTACCTCGCTTGTCATCCCTCGATCCAACTAAATGTAGAGACATCCACTGGAAGAAAATCCAGTTTATCAACATTAAAGATGTAGACTTCTAGGAGTGTAGGATCCTTGATGAAATATTAACATTTATCAGTTAAAGTAAACTACAGGTTTTTAAACAATTTTTCCATAACAACTTTTGTTTAACTCTTTGTTATCAATTCAACTTCCCACAAAAAGTAACTTTTTGATTTTTTAAAAACAAAAGCAGTTTTTTTACCTAGTTCTTTATATTCTTTTTTTAAATTTCTTTGTTGCAATGTATGTGATATCCTATCCTCTCCATGACTAAGAAACACTTGAAAAACATTATCCATATTGGAGGTAGAATTTTAATAAAGGAAAACTGCAGATTGAATAAGAATGGCTAAAATAAAACTACATTGTACATCATTTTTTAGGACATAGAATTCCTTGAAAGTAATGCTTGCTTTTGGGTGGGTGAAATGCTCTCATGTAACAATCCCTTACGGCAAAGAGATTTATATCCTATAAGAGTTTATCACTAACATTATAAAATACTTTATCAAATCATGTGAGCTCAATTTTCTTTTTTTTTTTTTCAGAAAGCACTCTTGATTCTGCATACTCTATGTGCTGCAGTTATATAATTAAAGTTAATAAAGTTTAATGACATTTCAAGCTTCAGAACAAGGTTATCCAATAGTCCATAAGATAAAACGTTGTCTCACAACAGGAAATTTAGCATTAAATGATGTATCTAAACATGTCAAAGCCCTGCTGATCCTCATAAATTTACCAGAACATTCTCTCTTACCTCTCTCACCCCCTTTCTCTCTTTCTCTCTCCCTCTCTCTTCTATTCATCCCTCATTTACGACTATTGCAAAAGTTCTTGAGTAAGAGTTCTATGTGCCTTTTAAAATCATCCTATATCAAATGCCTTTTTTGTAGATCTTGTGATATTTGTGGCCAGTATTCTAACATCTGCAAGATCACACCATGGATTTATCGCATCATACCTTGGATCATAGCATAAAGTATATGAAAGTTCAGTTGGCTAGAGCATGTCCTTTAAAACGAAAGTAATTCTTATTACACGGAGGCTGTTGAGGGGTTGAAATTGGTACCAGCAGAGTTTACTGCGTTACCAAGCAAAGCATGGGAATTCAGCGTTTATTAATGAAATGACTTCTGTAAATAATCAGAATATAGACTACATAGACATGTTATTATATTCAGTGCTTCAGTTATTGATTGGGAATCTGTGCTGATTTACTGTAAGGGAGAATGTTGAAGTTGTTTGACAGAGCCTTGATTTTAAATATAAATTAAACATAAATTGCTTGTTTTCAGAAAGGAGTTTCATTAGAAATGCTATTTCTTCTCTGTTGTAAGAAACACATATACGACTTTGTAATCTGAGAAAGAAAACTGACATGTAGTGAGAAATGTCTATTCTCAATATTATGGAGTAAGGACCTATCTTTGGGTCTTTGGTTTCCAACTGAAAATTTGAGAAACAAATTAGAATAATAATTAGGTTAAGTACAATATGTTGC